ACCCGTTCGGTGAGCTGTTCTTTCTTGCTGTTTTCGTGATCAAGAGGTAGTCGATTGAAAACGCTTTTCAAACATACGGACCTGCCTTTTCCAGGGCCCACGAAGGCCGGGCCCATCCCAGGCCCAGAATCAGGCCGGCCTATTTTTTGGCGTTGCCTCGCCAGTGGATCGGCGATAGGCCCCCGGGAGCGAGTCCGTACGTTGCTTGGTCGGGGGTGGACAGAACCCCCAACAGTGACACGTGGATTAGTGGATTGTCCGTTTTCGGTTCTCGAGAGGGCGCCGTGGCCGTTATTTTCCAGGCTTGCGTCCGCCAGGTTTGGGCCTCAGGCCGTTTTCACTAAACCACGTTTTACTAAAGGGGGGTCTGTCCATCCCCGACTTGGGGTGGGCTGGCGGGCCCCTATCTGCGATCAGTGGACGATTGTGGAGCCATGCGTCCCCTCCTGAGCCGGGTCCTCGGAAGACTAGATGTGTGCATATCCACCGCCCGTGCTTGAATCACCGCAGGCGTTGCTAAGTGGATGAGAGGTATCAGCGGATGCGAAAGTGGGGTATATTTGGCCCAGCCTAGTTTGCAAGTGGGCTAAATGTGCCCTAAGTGGATCCATTTGGTTCGCCAACTGGCTAAGTTGGCCAAGCCCACTCAGCCCGGATCTTAACCCCCCTAAACCATGAATGTCAGACCCACTTATAACTGTGCTAGGCCATCCATAATCCATCTCAGCATCCATTTGTACCCCCCCAGTCCTCTTAGCGGCCACAGCGGTGAGTCAAGAGTGGGCCCTGGAAACGACAGGACAGTTTTTGTTACTTGTTCCGTTTTACCGTTTTCTTGCCGGTTCTGGCATCGTTTTTTTCTGCGTTTCCGTTTTTCCCGTATTAAACAAGTTTTCGGGGGTGTCTTTCATATATCGAAAGGCCTTCTGCCCGTCCCGCCACCGTGCATTGGTTGTGGATATGACGCATCTTGGATGTTCGTTGGGATCTCGTGGGAGGCTTTTCGGGGGCCTCTTGGAGGCAGTTTGGGCGCGTCTTGGGGGCCGTTTCGGGGCCTCTTTGGGCCTCTTGGGGGCCTCTTGGGGCTTCTTGGGGGCTTCTTGGGGGTCTCTTGGGGCCTTCTGGGCGCCTCTTCGACCTCCTGGGGGCCTCTTGGGGCGGAAGGCTCGGATTTTCAGTTCGTGTTCCCTCTTTTGGGGCCTTTTCGGGGCCGTCTTGGGGCCCTCTTGGGCCGTTTTGCGCGCCTCTTGGAGTGTCTTGGGGCCCTCTTGAGCTGTTTTGGGGCCCTCTTGGAGGCCTCTTGGGCCGTCTTGGGGCGGTCTTTGGAGCCTCTAGGGCCGTCTGGGAGCGTCGGGAGGCCAAAAAGGCGAGAACACCAACATTCTTCAAACACCGACGGGACATCGATGATTTTGGCCTCTTGGGGCCCTCCTGGGAGGCCTCGTGGAGGCCTCTTTGGGCGTCTTGGCAGTCTTTGGGACCGTCTGGGGGCCATCTGGAGCGTGCTGAGGCGATAGTTCGGCGACTCGAGGCCGTCTGGGACCGTCTTGGAGGCCTCTTGGGGGCCCTCTCCGCCCGTCTTGAGGCCCTCTCGGGTCCACAACAATCACGCGACAAGACGCGACGAGCCCAAGGGGGCACGCGCCAAGCCCTGGAGAACCAGGAGTTTGGGATCTTAGGCCCTTGGAAGATTCCCTGGGAGCGGGGGCGGACGCTCAAGGGATCAGGCAAGAGACCTGAGGACGCGCCCACTCCGTGCCCAGCGGCACGGCGGCGGAGATGTATGTGTATACATATAACGGCGCACCGGGTCCGGGGGCCCGGGGCCGGGACCCCGACCACAAATGTGCGCCCCGGGGGGCCCGGAGGCTCGTCGGGGCTTGCCGGAGGCCTCCCCGGTCAGACAAGACGGCCCCAGGAGCGCCCAAGACGGCCCAAGAAACTTCCAAGAGGCCTCCAAGAGGGCTCCGAGATGCTGAAGATGGCCTCCAGACGTCCAAGGACGCCCCCAAGAGGCCCCAAGAAGCCTCCAACATGCGTCCCAAGAGGGCCCCTAGACGCAAAAATTGGCCCATTCCCTTCGTAAAACGTACATTTTTCAACAAAGTTGCTTTTTGGGCTTTCCGACGTTACAGGACGGCCCACGAGGCGCCCAAGACCGCCCCAAGACGGCCCAAGAAGCCCCCAGGACAGCCCAAGAGGGCCCCAAGACGGCCCAAGAGGCGCCCAAGATGGCCCAAGAGGGCCCCAAGACGGGCCCAAGAGGGGGCCCAGAGGGGGACCACGAACCGCAAGCTCGAGCCTTCCGCCCCAAGAGGCCGCCAGGAGGCCCCCAGGAGGCCCCTCAAGAGGCCCCAGGAGACCCCAGACGTCCAAGGACGCCCCCAAGACGCCCCAAGAAGCCTCCAACATGCGTCCCAAGAGGGCCCCTAGACGCAACAGTTGGCCCATTCTTCGTAAAACGTACATTTTCAGCATAGTCGCCTTTTGGGCTTTCCGA